GACAACAGCTGCACTGGCTCCGATACCTCCCAAAGAATGGCACGAGCGGTGTGGGATAAAAATATGAAAAGTTGATGTCCACCGGACGGGGTCATCCCGCTGTGGCGAGGGTGGGGGTGGCAGGCCTCCCCTGCGCGTGACGGGGGACGTGCCCCGGCCGCCGAACTCCCCCGGGGAAAGCCACCTAGGACCGACCCCCCGCCCCGCCCCGCCTACGGGGGACACACACATTATTGCTTGTCCCGGCGGCCCGCCAATACGTAAGCGAATTTCACCCTTCTATACCCCTCCCCCCACCTAAAAAATTGTTGCGGGAGAAATAAAGATAAATAATGTCAATAATGCACCTCTATTGCTCGCAGTGCCTTTGCTTGTTGTTGTATTTTCGTGTTGTTATGAGTTTTCGTCTGAATGACCATCACTCTGTGTTTCGGCGGCATACCCTGCTGCACTGCTGTGCTGGCTGGTCCTTTTTATTTTTATTATTTTTATTAATTTCGATAACGGTTGCGCCGGTGGTTCGTAGCGTCCGCTCTGTGCCAGGCGTGTGTCTCTGTTGTCGCTGGTAAATCTGAAAGGTCACTTGTCAGGCAGCCCAGCCAAGCAGCCTGCGGCCTGGCTGCGTGGCCTGTCCTGGACAGGGGACAGGTGGGGCGGGCTGCGGTGGGGTGGCGCGGCGTTGTGGTGTGTGTGGAATTGGCAGCATAGAGAGAGAGTCTGTGTTCGGAAAATGCCCCCTTAGGAGAGCCCGGGTGAGCCTGCCTGCGTCCGCACAGCCGGGCCGCTGCTGCGCTGCCATACGCCACGTGCTCTCTGCGCACGCCACACACACGGATTTTCTTTCAATTTCGACGTGGAAAATAAAGCCCCGAGAGAGGAAGAGAAAAGGAAAAGAGGGGATATGAAACGAGCGCGCGACGACGAGCTCCGGGGAGGAGAGAGCGAGCGGCGGTACAGCACCACGCGGCGGCGGTGGGGGTGGGGGTTAAGGTGAGGAAGGCAGAGAAAGAGACAGGAATAGAGAGGGGCGGGAGGGG